CATTCCTAAAGATCTTCAGCGTGGGGTAACCCGACACCCCGAACCGCCCACACACCTCCAGGTTAGCTGTGCAGTCCACCTGAGGACAGGTGAGAGACAGGTGAGAGAGGAGAGACAGGTGAGAGAGGAGAGACACAGGTGAGAGAGGTAATGATGATGATGGTGATGATGAGTGTTTACCTTCGCCAGCTGCACGGTTCCCTTCAGTCTAGTCGCTGCCTTCTCAAAATCTGGAGCTAACTTCTTACAGTGACCACACCTGAGGAGGAGGAAGAGGAAGAGGAAGAGGAAGAGGAAGAGGAAGAAGAAGAAGAAGAAGAAGAAGAAGAAGAAGAAGAAGAAGAAGAAGAAGAAGGTTAGCAGCATCACAGACCCGGTTATGTGCATGAATGTTGAGCTACCTATGCTAATGCTTACAGTTACCATTGTTTACATTAAGAGCTAGCTATGCTAAGCTAACGGTTACCATGGAGCGTAGAACGTCACCAGCAGGGTCTCGTGCTCCGCGGACAGGTAGTCGAAGTCCGCGTCACTGAGCTCGAGTACATCTCTGCGCGAGGACCCCGGCGCGGGAACACAATACAGCAGCGCGAGCGCGAGGAGGCGGGCACGAGCCTCCATCACGGAGAGAACCGGGAGGAAAAGATTTCTGATAAAAACCGGAGAAACAGACCGTTATAGACACACCAGGGAGTGATGACGTCACCTGCCACGTTTCCGGTTACAGGTTTCAAAATAAGATGATACTTTATTTATTACAGGCATTGATTAGAGGGACACATATTTACAGATAACACAAACATCACATATATCTCTATGGTTTGTACCTTTATAGATTTCCTGCTAATCTGATGCTTCACATAAATAAAGTTTCTCTTGATCTTATCGTGAAGGCACTTCCGGTGCTCGCCTCTGAAACAGATCCTCTCCAGCTGTCAGATGAAGGGCGGGGCGTAAAGAGAAAATACCGGCAAGGTGCTCTCTGATTGGTGCAGAGCGCTTGGAGGTGACGTTCTGGTTGGTCCAATGAGCTGTCAATCACAGAGCGCCCCCTGCTGCAAGGAGGCGGCTTTGATGAATCAATGTTGAACAGTAATAATTATTAAATCCCTGAAATGTTAAATATATAATCTACAGAGGAAATATCCAGTAATGATAAATAATACATCTAGAGGTTTAAATCACTCTGTTGAATTAAATAATCTAAGTTAATTAAATATCTAAATATAGATTCTAACGGACGATAAACATTAATAAGACTTTAGTACTTTATTCTCTATTTGTCTTTTGTATTTATTTAGGAATTATGTACTTTAGTAATCTGAATAAATAGATGTATTGATCCATTAAATAAAGTAAATCAGGGAGAAATGTACAAATATTAGATTGAAGCGGTCGATCCTTCATTCCTATTCAATATAAATAAATGAACACGTGTCCATCAAACCTGAAATTCAATCCTTAGATTGAATGAAGGGAAAAAAACAGTTCATTTGTTTTTCTCAATGTTATTACAGGTAGGTGTTATTACACCTGTTATTACAGGTGTTATTACAGGTAGGTGTTATTACACCTGTTATCAGGTTAGAACAGTCAGTTAGAACTGACTGCTGTCAGTTGGAGTGATGACATCATCGTGTTCCATTACACAGGTGTTTATAGTTGAGCTAACGAGCTCTGTAGTGATCAAAGGTTTGCATTGTTCTGAAGGAGAGATGAACCTCTTACATGTGAACGTTTTGTGGAAGAACGATAACAGATATCTGTGAAATTGAGTATCTGAAGTGTAATTTTTGTGTACTTTCGGGTTAATAATGTGGCCTTTTTGGCAGTTTAACTAAAGGTGTGCGGCTGCTGCTGTGAGGAAATATCAGCCTGAAATTACAATGGGTTTTAATGGAGACATGTTGAACGTTTTTGTCACTTCATGCCCTCAAGCCTAGGTGTGAAACTGGACTCATCCCTTTCATTCCAAGCACACATAAAGACGGTCTGCCAAGCCTCATACTACCACCTAAGAAACATCTCCAAAATGCGACACTCCCTCACCAAACCGGATGCAGAAAAACTGCTCCATGCCTTCCGCATTGATTACTGCAATTCTCTGCTTGCAGGCCTTCCAGCAAAAACCACTCAGACTATAATATATACAAAACTGTGCCGCCCGGATACTCACAAAAACACGCAAATCAGAGCACATCACCCCCATCCTTCACTCACTCCACTGGCTCCCTGTAACACACCGGATCAACTACAAAGTCCTCATAATGGTCTTCAACGCCATCAACCACACTGGCCCCACCTACCTACAGGACCTGCTAACCAGAAAACATTCACATACCTCACGCACACTCAGGTCAGACAGCTCCAATCTCCTGGCTGTCCCGCGGACAAAACTGGTCACCATGGGAAACCGTGCTTTCTCCTCCCTGGGTCCACGTCTGTGGAATCAGCTTCCAGAGAACATACGGACCTCAGCATCACTCAGTTTTTAGGAAATGCCTCAAGACCCACCTGTTCCACACCGCATTTTACGGACTGTCCTTTATTTATTTATTTTTTAAACCTTCTATGCTCTTAACCTTTTATTTTTATACTGCCATATTTTATCCAATATGCTCCTTTAGATAACTTTTTACTTATTGTTCCTTATAGCTTTGTGAAGCACCTTGAGATGACGTTGTTTTTAAAGTGTGCTATATAAATCAAATGTATTATTATTATTATTCAAGAGGCATTTTGTTTAATTATTTTGCTTAATTATTTGTCATTTTTCAAGCTACAAGATGTTCTACGAGCCCTCAACAGCTCTACGTCAATTATGGGGTGTCATCATATGCCGTTCCCATGGAATATGGATGCGTATCCCTCGCCATAAAACACGATGTCGCTGTAACTCCAATGGACACGGTCCGATCGTCCCCCGAACTTCGCTTGTATATCACCGGTCCATGCCTCAACACCTCTACGTCAAATCTGAGATTTCACCATAGGCTGTTGCCATGGAAACGCATCCCTCGCCATAAAACACGATGTCGCTGTAACTCCAATGGACACGGTCCGATCGTCCCCCAAACTTCGCTTGTATATCACCGGTCCATGCCTCAACACCTCTACGTCAAATCTGACATCTCACCATATGCCGTTTCCATGGAAACGCATCCCTCGCCATAAAACACGATGTTGTCGTAACGCCTATGAAAATGTTCAAAAAATGCCCAAACTTCACGTGTGCTAACAGTCCAGCCGTGAAGACATCTACGGGACAGTTTTGAGATTTCTTCAAATGCCGTTGCCATGGCAACACAATGCTCGCCATGAAACACGGTTTTCTCATAACTTCAGTGAAAATGCTCCAAACGGCTCAAAACTTCACAGGTTTGGTAACGATGCAGCCATCAACGCATCGAAGCGTATTATGGGGTGTCATCAAATGCCGTTGGCATGGCAACAGATCATTCGCCATCAAGTTAGTTCAAAAGTTTGCAGTTCAAATATTCTGCTGCTTTTCCAAGCCTTTTTACTTTCTTTTCTTCTCATCACACATTCAAGCCCCCAGTGTTCATGTATCATTTCAATCTAAATTATTCACTTTCTTCTTACACATTACATTTCAGCATAGCAGTTCAGAGTCAGCTTTTCAGCATAAAGCATTCCCACTAGCAATTTCTTCAGGAATTGCATTCTCTAGTTACAGTTTAATATTCTGTTCAATTAGTTCAAAGAGTAAATCAGTGAGAAATGTAAAGGTATTTTATTGAAGCGTTCGACCTTCACTCATATTCAATATGAATAACAAACAGGTCCATTTACACACATTCATAGCTCACATGGGCTGCTGAGGCATTGTGGGTAATATCCAGAAACAGTTCAACCGTTAACACATTTTTTAAAACTAACTTTTAAGAAAAAACATAAAACAAAATAATAAATAAAACAAGAAATAAAGAAATAAAAAAGAATGAAAAAATAAGAACTAAGTCTATCCGAGTCTCCTGAGGTCAGAGGCCAACCTGTAGAACATTCATCAGGTCAGAGTTCATCGATCCTTCAAACCCCTGGAGAGAGACTGAGCGTCCATACCTGTACAGTGTGTGTACAGTGTGTGTACAGTGTGTGTACAGGGAGGTGCGTCAGTGGTCAGGCGTCTTGCTGCTGGAGAGGAACAAGTTCATCAGGTGGTCGAAACGCAGACTCACCTGCAGGAGACAGGAAGCTGTGAATTAAATAACAGAAGAAGAACACCCCTGCTTAGGGGTATCAATATATATATATATAACCACGCCCCTTAGCTGTGATATAATGACCATATACCACGGCCTGTCGTGAGCTATTGCTTAAATAAATTAAAACTAAGGCTGTCAAGTGAATGCGTTAATAACGCAATTTTGTATGCATTTGCATGTGTATTTGTCCTCGGCCCGCCCCGTAGTTTCAGAGCCCAAACGCTTCACGTTGTTGTTGTTGTTGTTAGTTGGAGGGTGGGAGATTCTAGAGATATGGATACAAAAAAAGGTGTTTTAAACAGCAAGCCAAGCACCCAGCTGATGCTGACAGCCCCGCTACTGCCGCTCGCTTGCGGCAGACCACGCTTGAAAGTTTGCCGGGGAGACGCCTGGACACGGCGTCTACGAGCAGCAAGCTTTCAACAGCGACAGCTAAATGGGTGGCTACAGCTTAACATTGTGGAGGACGAGGGGCTGCGTTAGATAATTCGGATCGCATCCAACGTGTCGACTGCACATCACAGCGCATTATTTTGACCCTAGGTGGGAACTTCAGTCTCATGCTTTGACTGTTATGAAGACAGAGGAGCGGCGTTATTAACGCGTTAACTTGACAGCCCTAATATTTATAAATATAATATATATATAATATATATAATTACCTGCTGAGGGGTCTTGTCCTCCAGCTGCTCTGAGATCAGGCTGAAGGTGCTCCTGCTGGCTCCTCTCTGCTGGCAGGAGGTCAGGATGCTGCGGTCCTCCAGCCTGTGGGGGGGGGGGATATATATAGAGTCAGAGAAGGAACAAGTACTCACATCCTTTACTCAGGTAGAAGTACTCACATCCTTTCCTCAAGTAGAAGTACACACATCCTTTACTCAAGTAGAAGTACTCACATCCTTTCCTCAAGTAGAAGTACACACATCCTTTACTCAGGTAGAAGTACTCACATCCTTTCCTCAAGTAGAAGTACACACATCCTTTACTCAGGTAGAAGTACTCACATCCTTTCCTCAAGTAGAAGTACACACATCCTTTACTCAAAGTGGGCTTTGAAATGTCCTTCAGTAAAAAGTACCCATAACGAGCAGCTGTTTTAAAGAGTACCTGACCTCCCTTTATATTAATAGAACAATAATGTCATTGTTAGCTAATGAATGTTTCCATGCTGAACAACGGCAACATGACAACGTTTTCATTGGTCCCTCTTCTTTAGAGAAGACCAGGAAATGATGGATACACGGATCGTGTTCAAATCAATAGGCACGCAATGACTCTAAATAATAATGATCACGCCACCAGACACACATTCAAACTAAAGGAACCAGCCTGTTTGGAAAATGTGAGAAGTAGAAAGTACAGGTATTTGTGTTCAACATGTAAGAAGTAGAAAGTACAGGTATTTGTGTTCAACATGTAAGAAGTAGAAAGTACAGGTATTTGTGTTCAACATGTAAGAAGTAGAAAGTACAGGTATTTGTGTTCAACATGTAAGAAGTAGAAAGTACAGGTATTTGTGTTCAACATGTAAGAAGTAGAAAGTACAGGTATTTGTGTTCAACATGTGAGAAGTAGAAAGTACAGGTATTTGTGTTAAAAATGTAAGAAGTAGAAAGTACAGGTATTTGTGTTCAACATGTAAGAAGTCATAAGTAAAAAGTCATAAGTAATAAGTAGTGGAGTAAAGTACTGATACTAGAGAAATGTACTCAAGTACAGTGACAGTACAGTCCTAATTCTACTTGAGGAGGAGAGAGCACCTCGTGAACTGTTAGCTCGGTGTTAGCACCTCGCGGGAGAACTCAGCGTAAAGCAAAAACTCCCAGACATTTCAATGATTTGTACGGCAAAGTACGGTTTGGAAACGATATAATTTCCTTTTTGGCGGTTAACGCAACCACTGGTGTGTGTGTGTGTGTGTGTGTGTGTGTGTGTGTGTGTGTGTGTGTGTGTGTGTGTGTGTGTGTGTGTGTGTGTGTGTGTGTGTGTGTGTGTGTGTGTGTGTGTGTGTGTGTGTGTGTGTGTGTGTGTGTGTGTGTGTCCTCACCGGGTCCAGATCACTTTTTCTTCACTCGGAGTCATGATTTTGGCGCCGTCGGTTTGCTCTGACTCCGCCTCTTCAAGTTGCTCTGACTCCGCCTCTTCAAGTTGCTCTAACTCCGCCTCCTCAAGTTGATCTAACTCCGCCTCCTCAAGTTGCTCTAACTCCGCCTCCTCCGGTCTCTCGTCTCTCTTCCTGTCCCCGTTCAGAGGAGGATTCTGGGAAATGGAGTCCGTCTCTACGGCCTGGCCGTGAAGCTGCTTGAAAAACTCCCAGAATTCTTTGTGCAGGTCGCCGTGACAACCCAGGAGAGACGAGATCTGAGAGCAGAAAGTATTGTGGGATGGAAATAAAAAAATCGAACATAATTGACTCTGAAGTTAATATATGTGTAGATAATCAATGAATGATGATCATAACGTGTTGCTTACCTGCTCCATGTCCTCAGGTAAGGGGGCGGAGCTTCCCTGCAGCACTGACACCACCTGCTGGAAGGGGGCGGAGCCTTCTCCCAGGCCACGCCCCAATCTGCGGAGGAACCTCCGGCTGCGTTCAAACAGCTGCTGCTCTACCAGCTGGAAACAGCACAGAAGAAGAGAAGAGGCCTTTTAACACTGAGTCCTGAACCCTGAAATGAGTCAGCATTATGAGTCCTGAACCCTGACATGAGTCAGCATTATGAGTCCTGAACCCTGACATGAGTCAGCATTATGAGTCCTAAACCCTGAAATGAGTCAGCATTATGAGTCCTAACCCCTGACATGAGTCAGCATTATGAGTCCTGAACCCTGACATGAGTCAGCATTATGAGTCCTAAACCCTGACATGAGTCAGCATTATGAGTCCTAAACCCTCACATGAGTCAGCATTATGAGTCCTAAACCCTGACATGAGTCAGCATTATGAGTCCTAAACCCTGACATGAGTCAGCATTATGAGCCCTTAACCCACACATGAGTCAGCATTGTGAGTCCTAAACTCTGAAATGAGTCAGCATTATGAGTCCTAAACCCTGACATGAGTCAGCATTATGAGTCCTAAACCCTAACATGAGTCAGCATTATGAGTCCTAAACCCTGAAATGAGTCAGCATTATGAGTCCTAAACCCTGACATGAGTCAGCATTATGAGTCCTGACATGAGTTAGCATTATGAGTCTGAACCCTGACATGAGTCAGCATTATGAGTCCTAAACCCTAACATGAGTCAGCATTATGAGTCCTGAACCCTGACATGAGTCAGCATTATGAGTCCTAAACCCTAACATGAGTCAGCATTATGAGTCAGCATTATGAGTCCTAAACCCTGACATGAGTCAGCATTATGAGCCCTTAACCCACACATGAGTCAGCATTGTGAGTCCTAAACTCTGAAATGAGTCAGCATTATGAGTCCTAAACCCTGACATGAGTCAGCATTATGAGTCCTAAACCCTAACATGAGTCAGCATTATGAGTCCTAAACCCTGAAATTAGTCAGCATTATGAGTCCTAAACCCTGACATGAGTCAGCATTATGAGTCCTGACATCAGTCAGCATTATGAGTCCTGAACCCTGACATGAGTCAGCATTATGAGTCCTAATCCCACACATGAGTCAGCATTATGAGTCCTAAACTCTGACATGAGTCATTATTATGAGTCCTAAACTCGAGTCAGCATTGTGAGTCCTAAACCCTGACATGAGTCAGCATTATGAGTCTGAACCCTGACATGAGTCAGCATTATGAGTCCTAAACCCTAACATGAGTCAGCATTATGAGTCCTGAACCCTGACATGAGTCAGCATTATGAGTCAGCATTATGAGTCTTAAACCCTGACATGAGTCAGCATTATGAGTCCTAAACCCTAACATGAGTCAGCATTATGAGTCCTGAACCCTAACATGAGTCAGCATTATGAGTCCTGAACCCTGACATGAGTCAGCATTATGAGTCCTAAACCCTAACATGAGTCAGCATTATGAGTCCTGAACCCTGACATGAGTCAGCATTATGAGTCCTAAACCCTGACATGAGTCAGCATTATGAGTCCTAAACCCTGACATGAGTCAGCATTATGAGTCCTACTGACATTTTTACAAATAAAAAATATACATGCAATCCAAATGTATTGCACAATAGCTGTGCTTTATGTTAACTGAGCTATGCCTGTGGCAAGCTATTAACAGGCATTACACTGTGCCTTGTCTTTTTCTTTTTCAGTGTAGTGGAGCCTCACTTTAGAGCGTTTACCGCGACCCATCTTCGGTGTTATGAAGTGACTGAGCTCGTGAACTGTCTACGGGAGGGCGGGGGGAGCCTCGCTGCGGGGCAACTGTGGACCTCTGTCGCCTGTCAGCGCAACTTACATGATGCCGTTTAAGAAAATTAAGGGCGGTGCCGGCCGTCAGCGTACCGAGCCGGCCGTCAACGGCCCGCTGACGACCGGCCGTTCTGTGATTCTCCAGAACACACAGATGGCCAGTCCGTACCCTGTATTCCACCGGGTCACTGCGGCGCAGACGTACCCGGTGGAATACAGGGTCTACCGCGTTTAGGAACCGTTAAGCAGAACCAAAATTGTGTATTTTGTATGGGTACCCGGCATTTTCTTATTGGTTCTCATCTGGAACCGAGTTTCGGTTCCCAACCCTAGACATGAGTCAGCATTATGAGTCTATATATATAGTTCCTTTATAGCCTAACATTAGCCGCCTTTAGCTTAGCGGTGGTGAGGTCATGTGATATAATCTCTCACCAGTCCACAGCTCCTGGCCTGTGATTGGCTCAGGAAGGCAGCGAAGTCTCTGAGCAGCTGAGGCCACGCCCCCAACACGCCTCGCAGCTCGCTGTACAGACACACCACTGAGGAGGGGGGGGAGAACCCATCCAACACCTGTAACAGGTGATCAGAGAGGGGGGGGGAGGACTGCAGCGCATCACACACCTGCACAGAGAACACACACATTAACACACACCTGCACAGAGAACACACACATTAACACACACAGAGTACACACACATTAACACACACACTATCACACACCTGCAGAGAGAACACACACATTAACACACACCTGCACACAGAGTACACACACATTAACACACACACTATCACACACCTGCAGAGAGAACACACACATTAACACACACCTGCAGAGAGAACACACACATTAACACACACCTGCACACAGAGTACACACACCTGCAAAGAGAACACACACATTAACACACACCTGCACAGAGAACACACACATTAACACACACCTGCACAGAGAACACACACATTAACACACACCTGCACAGAGAACACACACCTGCACAGAGAGCACACATGAACACACACCTGCACAGAGAACACACACATTAAGACACACCTGCACACAGAGTACACACACAGTTGGAAAATAATCAGTGATGTTATTGAAAACAGGAGGTCTCACTCTGAGCAGATAATCCTCAGCAAACACTTCGTCTTCAGAACGCAGAGGACCCTCTTCATCCTACACACACACACACACACACACACACACACACACACACACACACACACACACACACACACACACACACACACACACACACACACACACACACACACACACACACACACACACACACACACACACACACACACACACACACACACACACACACACACACACACACACACACACACACACCTTATCTTATTTGTTTCCACAGATCATAATATTTATCATAGAGACTGTATAAAGGTGTCTCACCTGCAGCTGGAGGCGGGGCTTTGCAGACGTCACTTCCTGTTCGGTGTCTGACTCGGACAGCGTCAAATGGAAGTCACTCTCTTCCTCCTCTTCTTCATCCTCCTCTTCCTCCCTCCTGATGACATCATCACCCTCCTCCTGTGAGGGGACGGGGCCTGCAGGAGGGGGCGGGGCCTCGTCCCTCAGGCTGCAGAGCGTCCGATAGTGGCGTCTGATTCGCTCTCTGGTCCCGATCGAGAGGGTGGAGGAAGAGGAGGAAGAAGGGGGCGGGGCTTCATTGTGACGGAGGGTGAGCCGACGGAGGGCAGGGCGGGAGGAAGGGGGCGGGGCTTCATTGTGACGGAGGGTGAGCCGACGGAGGGCAGGGGGGGAGGAGTGGGGCGGGGCTTCATGCCGGGGGGGAGGAGCCGGCCTCACGAAGCCGATGCGTCTGAAGAGGAGGAGTTTGGGGAGGTGGGGGGGGTAGAGGGTGCCGGGGGGGAAGCTGTAGGTCATGTGACGCCCTCCTGACAGGCGGGGGGGCGGGGCCTCGGGGGCGGAGCCTGGATGGAGGTTATAGTCTCTGATGGGGGGGTGGAGGACCGGGAGGCTCCTCTGTGGGATGGGGGGGCATTAATTTACTGTCAGGACTCATCACAGATCCTCCAACAACACAACTTAAAGGTCTCCTATCATCCAGAATGCACTCTCTGATGTCTTCTCTACATCACCACGTGTCCCCGGTGTGTGTCCCCGGTGTGTGTGTCCGGTGTGTGTGTCCCGTGTGTCCCCGGTGTGTCCCCGGTGTTTGTCCCCGGTGTGTGTCCCCGGTGTATCCCCCGTGTGTCCCCGGTGTGTCCCCGGTGTGTCCCCGGTGTGTCAGGAGACTCTCAAAGTGTCAGGAAATAAACCCCTCTCTCTTTTCCTCCGTACCCACATCTCTAAAAACGGGGGAACAACGGAGCTGATCCAGATTTGCTGCGTCATGACCACATTACTAAAATGTGGGCGGGCTTCAGAATCAGAAACGTTGCTGTCAGAAACAATGAGACGTGTTCTGGAAGTAATATGGTCTGTGTTTACATTAGCATGCTAACACTCAGAGCTAACCTGTAGTAGTTTCTTTTTAAAGCTTTAGACCCAGAATCCAGCTCTTTAGTAACAGCTGAAAGAGAGGGGGAGGGGCTACAATGATCTGTTTGGTATTTTGAGCAAAACACTTCAGAGACATGTTTTTATATCTGAGACCTATGATATATGCCTACAAATAGTATAATAGGAGACCTTTAAAACAAACAAAGAAGAGATGACATGTTGCCAGGCTGATGCAGGTAGTTTTTAAAATGTAGTGTGTGTCGTACCATCAGCCAGAGGGGCATGCGCTCCTCCTCCCTCTCCACAGGGGGGCGCTGCTCTGCAGGGAGACCCCCCAGACAGGGCTGCAGCATGGGCCACAACACATGCTGATACCTGAAGGCCTACACACACACACACACACACACACACACACACACACACACACACACACACACACACAACACACACACACCACCACACACACACACACACACACACACACACACACAACACACACACACACCACACACACACACACACACACACACACACACACACACACACACACACACACACACACACACACACACACACACACACACACATTAATCCAGTGTTCTCATCCCGCACAGTAGCTCATATTGTTAGCATGTAGCTCGTTACCTTGACGATGTTGTCGGGGGCTCCCGGCCGGCAGCACTGCAGGATCCTCCTCCTCACCTGGACCAGAGTCTTCCTCAGCAGGAACTGAGACACCAGCTTCGGGGGGTCACATGACCCCTCCATGTTCCTGAGGCCCAGCACCAGCAGGCTGACACACACAGGTTAATGTTATAAAGGAACTACAGCATGGTCACATGACTTCACGTCACCACCGCTAAGCTAAAGGTGGCTAATGTTGGGCTATAAAGGAACTACAGCACGGTCACATGACTTCACGTCACCACCGCTAAGCTAAAGGTGGCTAATGTTGGGCTATAAAGGAACTACAGCACGGTCACATGACTTCACGTCACCACCGCTAAGCTAAAGGAGGCTAATGTTGGGCTATAAAGGAACTACAGCACGGTCACATGACTTCACCACCACTAAGCTAAAGGAGGCTAATGTTGGGCTATAAAGGAACTACAGCACGGTCACATGACTTCACATCACCACCACTAAACTAAAGGTGGCTAATGTTGGGCTATAAAGGAACTACAGCACGGTCACATGACTTCACGTCACCACCGCTAAGCTAAAGGTGGCTAATGTTGGGCTATAAAGGAACTACAGCACGGTCACATGACTTCACGTCACCACCGCTAAGCTAAAGGAGGCTAATGTTGGGCTATAAAGGAACTACAGCACGGTCACATGACTTCACGTCACCACCACTAAGCTAAAGGAGGCTAATGGGTATTTACTGACGTTATTATTATTTTGAGGTGTGTGTTAGTACCAGTCCTCG